AAATTTTCTTGTTGGAACCGGCTTTGTCATCATGTCGGACCAATTTTGATCAGTGTGCACTTTGACGAGTTCGAGCTCTCCACCTTCCACCACATCCCGGATCCAGTGATACCTCACATCAATATGCTTAGTGCGGGAGTGATAGGTCAAATTCTTCGCAAGATGGATTGCGCTTTGATTGTCACAACCCAGCTCGTACTTGTCTTGCTCATGGCCGAGTTCCATGAGGAACTTCTTCATCCACAGCATCTCTTTGCTTGCCTCAGTAACGGCAATGTACTCAGCCTCAGTTGTCGATAGTGCAACACATTTCTGAAGTCTTAATTGCCAAGAGACAGCTCCTCTGGCAAATCTCATCAAATATCCTGTAGTCGACTTCCTCGAGTCGGCGTCTCCCCCTAAATCAGAATCCGAGTAGCCTTGCAACTCGGCTTTGCCTTCTCCAAATCGGAGACAAAAATCGGTCGTACCTCGGAGGTACTTGAAGATCCACTTCACTGCTTCCCAGTGCTCTTTGCCAGGGTTTGACAAATACCGGCTTACCATTCCAACAGCATACGCCAAGTCAGGTCTAGTGCAAACCATTGCATACATCAAGCTTCCGATGGCGGATTGGTAAGGGACCTTCATCATCTCATCTTTGTCTTCATCAGATCTCGGACATTGCTTCTGGTTCAGCTTTATGTGTCCGGCAAGGGGGTGCTCACCTTTGTCCATGTTGAATCTCTTTAGAATCTTCTCAATATATTTCTCTTGACTCAACCACAGTAGCTTCTTCTGTCTATCTCAGATGATCTTGATTCCGAGAATCTGCTTTGCAGGGCCGAGGTCCTTCATTGCGAAGGACGAGCTCAACGCCTTTTTCAGGGCGGTTATCCTCGATTTATCTTTCTCTACAATAAGCATGTCGTCAACATATAACAACAAAATCAAAAAATCTCCAGCCTCATACCTCTTCACAAATACGCAGTGGTCGGCTTCAGTCTTCTCAAACTTATGATCAGTCATGAATGATTCAAATTTCTTGTACCACTGCCGAGGTGCTTGCTTCAAGCCATAGAGACTCTTCTTCAACCGACATACCAAGTCTTCTTGGTCTGAAGCTTGGAACCCTTCTGGTTGCTCCATATATATCTCTTCTTCTAAGTCACCGTGAAGAAATGATGTCTTCATGTCCATTTGTTCTACCTCGAGGTCCATCGAAGCCGCCATGGCTAACACGGTTCAGACCGAGGTCATTTTCACCACAGGAGAAAAAATCTCCTCAAAATCAACTCATTTCTTCTGATTGCAGCCTTTCACTACAATCCGGGCTTTGTATCTCTGCTTCTGCCCGTTTTCTTCATTCTTAATCTTGTAGACCCATTTATTTTTCAAAGCTCGTCTTCCTTTTGGCAACTCAGTCAGCTCATAAGTTTGATTCTCGTGCAGAGACTTCATCTCGTCTTGCATTGCCTTTTCTCATTCTTCTTTCTCTGAGCTCGTCACAGTCTCATCATAACTCTGAGGCTCACCGTCTTCAGCAATAACGGTGTATTCATCATATGGGTATCTCGTAGAGGGTCTTCTTTCTCGAGTTGGATATCTCGGCTGTTCTCCAGCTTGAGGACCTGGTTCATCATTCTCATCCCGGATCTCATCCTCAACTCGGACCTCAATGTCTTGGTCATCTTCAGCTTGTTGCTGGTCATCAATTTCTTCATTTTCTTGATTTTCTCCCCCTGCTTCAGCTCGGACAGGAGGGATGGGTTCTTCACGTCTGACAGTAACCCGGACTTTGGGCTTCGAGATGTCATGAATGTTCTCATGCTCATGAAAGATCACATCTCAGCTTCTCACGATCTTCTTATTGATTGGATCCCAAAGTCGGAACCCGAACTCACATCTCGGCGAACCAAGATAGATGCATTCTTTTGTCTTCGTATCAAGTTTGGCCCTTTCATCTTTAGGGATATGCACGAAAGCTCGGCATCCAAACACTTTCAATTGATTGTAGGCCGCTTTCCGACCTGTCCAGACTTCTTCTGGAATTTCTCCTTCAAGTGGCCGTGATAGTGAGAGGTTGATCAAGTCAACAGCTGTTTTGACGGCTTCTCCCCAGAATGATTTCGGCAATCCGGCATTGGATAACATGCTTCAGACCTTCTCTTCAATAGTTCGGTTCATCTTCTCAGCCAGTCCATTCAACTGTGGAGTCTTGGGGGGCGTCTTCTCAAGTCGGATCCCGGCCGCTCTGCAGTATGCATCAAATGGGCCGCAATACTCACCACCATTATCAGATCGGACCACCTTCAATTTCTTGCCAGACTCCCTTTCAACCATAGCATGGAATTCTTTAAAGGATTGGAGTACCTGGTCTTTAGACTTCAAAAAAGACACCCACACTTTGCGGGAATGGTCATCAATAAATGAAACAAAGTACTGAGCTCCTCCAAGGGATCTTTCCGACATGGAGCAGACATTAATATGGACGAGGTCAAGAATATACCTGCGTCGTCTAGGTTGATCCGGTCTCACAAAAGAAACTCGGTGCTGCTTTCCAGCTAGGCAATGCGTGCAACTTTCCAACGCTTGGCCTTTCAACCCGGTCAGTAATCCTTTCTTGTTCAGGATTTGGAGCCCTTTCTCGCTCATGTGGCCGAGCCGCTTGTGCCATAGCTCCAAGCTAGGTTCATCTCGGATAGAGTTGGCTTCTCCGCCATTGATCTTTCCTTGCATCACGTACAAGGAGCCTTCCTTCTTACCTCGGGCCACGACCAAGTTTCCCTTGGTCAGCTTCCATCTAACACTACCGAAGTAGTTCACTAACCCGGCATCATCAAGTTTGCCTACCGAGATTAGGTTCAAACGCATGTCAGGAACATGCCTTACATCTTTCAACACAAGTCGGCATCCAACATCCGTGGTCAGAGTTACATCACCGACACCAACAATCTTGCTGGTCACTTGATTTCTCATCTTCACGACTCCAAAATCACCACATCGATAAGAGGAGAAAAAACCTTTGTGTGGAGTAACGTGGAAGGAGGCACCGGAGTCAACAATCCAGGTGCAGTCATCATATGCAACATTCAAATAATTATCCTCACCAAGGAGGAATATATCGACATCAGGGTTGGCAGCCACCGCAGTGGTGCTCTTGTCTTCCCTCTTCTTGGGAACAATCTGATCCGGCTTCACAGAGCCGTTCTTCTCATCATTCTGCAGGGTCCAGCAGTCTGGCTCCTTGTGGCCTGTCTTTCCACAGTAAAAGCACTTCAACTCATATTTCGGCTTTGACCGACCTCTGGACTTGTCTCGTCTGTCACGACCTCTACCTCGGCTTTTGCTTCTACCGCGGGAGTCAGATTTCCCTTTGTTCTCAGCAACGTTGGCCTCTGACGTACTCGAAGTACCTCGTTCTCTTCTCTTGGATTCTTCGCCCAGGAGGCTGTCTGTCACGACATCCATCTTCAATTTTCCATCTGGAGTCGAGTTATTCAGGGTCACCACCAGAGTATCCCAGCTTTCTGGCAGCAAGCTCAACAGCAGCAATGCCTGCAATTCTTCATCAATTTTCATATCAGCCTTTGACAGCTGATTCACAATACCTTTGTAGGTGTTCAGATGTTCAATCATGCTCATGTCGTCCTTGTATTCAAGCTTAACAAGTCGACGAACCAGGTGTGCTTTGTTCCTGTGAGTCTTCTTCTGAATCATGGACTCTAGCTTCGTCCACAACTCATACGCGTTCGTGAATTCGGACACGTGCTCAAAGAGGCTTTTATCAATATATTTCCTGATCGTGGCTACAGTCTTCCGACTCAAGATCTCCCACTCCTTATCGATTTTGTCTGCCGGTCTCTCATTAAGGATAATGGGCTCATGTAAATCTTTGCAGTAGAGATGATCTTCCATCATCGGTCTCCAATAAGTGAAGTTGTCTGCGGTCAACTTGAACATATCTCCATCATAAGTTATGCCACTGGTCTCCATCTCGTCTCCCTCAGAACCCGTCGAACCCGGGCTCTGATACCACTGTTGGGAAACCGGTTCCCTCAAGCTCGGCTCAGGGGCCTTTTCTGGAAGTCAGTCAGCAAGATCCTGATCTCGGATCTCGGCAAAACCTCGACCTGAACTTCACCAGGTCAGGCAGCGCAGCGGAAAAATCAAAACGAAAACAGGAGAGAGAGAGAAGAAGAACACAACCAGATTTAACGTGGGAAAACCTTATCCAATGAAGAAGTAAAAACCCACGGGACCTAGTCCAGATCAGAAATTCACTATGAAAATAATGGTTACAACGAATCAAAATACACCAATGTGGTGGTTAACTCAACCTCTCCAACAATGGTGATAATCAAACTACCCTAGAGATGTTTCCTTCAAACTCTCTCTAGAGATCTCTCAAATGCAAAGCATAAAGCTTTACTCAAACAATCAAACAATTTTTCTCTCAAATTTGTTCTCTCAAATCTGACCTAGCCTCCACCCACAACTAATGAGTATATATAGAGGAGGTGGAAATTAGGGTTAGAGTTTTTAAGAAACCCCTCAAATGAACTTGGACTTAACATTGAAGGAGGAAGCTCAACAAGAATATCTCCCCTGGAAGCTGATTATCCATGGTGGCAACCCTTTTATGACAAATATCTTCTCAGTTCTCACTTTCAAAACTTCTCAGTTCTCACTTTCTTTTGAAACACTAGATTCATTCATAGAGAATATACTCTTGGGCTACCATAGATCATATAGCTTTTTGACTGGCATTAACCGCTTAGCCCTTTTGGACTGATAGAGACAATATATAACGGTTAATGGTAAAAAAAAAAGGAAAATATTGCATAGAAGAAATGATGAGCGATTAGCATGAGGGGAATGGATTTCATTTCAGTGGATTTCATTTCAGAATTAGCACTGAAGTTGAAATGAATTCAAACATACAATTTTAAATATTTAAAAAAATAAATAAATAAATACTGTGGCACCTCTCTTCTCTAAGAAATTAAATCAACTCGTTCTTAAAAACAGAGAAGAACGACTGAGGAAGAGACCATAAAGCCATAGATCAAGATCAAGAAACCAAAATGAAGAGCCCAATTCCTCTTGAACTTACCAAAATAGCTTTCAGGGGGTTCCTGGTAGTGAATCTCAAAGTCCTCATCACCAATCCCATCGTACTCAGCGTTGGTGTTGAGCCTCATCTTCATCTCTCTAAGCTTCTCAGTTGCCAAGCCAAGGGTGAGCTTGTGGCAACGCCTCTGGTACTTGAAGCCATTGATGCACCTGAGGGTCTGTGCCACGGAGACATAGAAGATGAGGTGGGCCATGGAGAGAAGAGTGATGGGGATCCAACAATGGCGGCATTCGAGACGGGGCGACTGGGATTGAGCCAGGAATATAAGGCTTAGGAAGATGAAGAAAATCTGGAATAGTTTGTGAAGCTCCTTCTTTTGGAGGTCTATGGCACGCTTCTTCTCCAGGGTCTTCTCGAAATGGAGCTGTATGATGGTGTTCAAGGCTTGAAAAGCTGTCTCTTTTGACACAGCTTGTTGGTGGTGATGGTGGTGCTGAGTTTCATAGTCGGCCATAGCTACACAGAAGGGTTGTTTGGTTGTATTGTGTTTTGTCCCAAGAAGAACGTTGGATGTTTGTTGGGTAAGGTTATTGCTACCAAATCCAAAAAATTAAAGAGGTGAAGTGTCTTTGTTAAAATTTCAGACATGTAAAAATTTTGTATTATCTCTCTCTCTATATATATATATATATATATATATATATATATATATTCTTAAATTTTCATAATAGAGTCAATAAATAAAGGGTTTTATAATAGTTATATTATAAAAAAATTGATTGTGTAATGTTATAGAGATTCGTTTTGCGTACTTTAATTTTTATTTTTTTATTTTGTTTTAAAAAATGCGGGTCCACAAAATATTGTATGTCTAAGCATTTTTTTTGTGTCATATGACATGATAGATGCAAATCCCATAAATAAATACAAACATTTCACATAATAATCTAATGTAAAATTTTGATATAAGACGACGGAAAAGAAAGTGAATGGACTGAAATAGAATAATGGTAAAAAAATTTGGTATTAGATGTTAAAGAATGTTAGTCCTAATTAAAAACGAATGGTGGCGATCTCGATGGGGTTTTAATTCCAATTGAAATATTTACCAAGAAAAAAAATTCCAATTGAAATATCCAACGGTTAGAATAGTTGAGAGCAGAATGAGCAGCGAGATGTGAGGGCACTCTTTTTTAAGTTGAAATCTTTTTGGCAGTAAGCGAGTACCCAGGTTTGAATGAGTTGTTGCCTTTGGCACAAAGTTAGATAACATGATAATGCTTCAACATCCGTGCAGTGTCCTTGCCCCAATCTGCTGTCATTTTATTATATATAAGTATATAACGCATTTAAATCTGCGTAATTTCTTAAAATATTTTGTATTTTTAACTCAAAATAATATAATTTTGAGTTGAAAGACATAATTTTATCTTGTACTATGCAAATAATACTGAAATCTCGTTAATGATTTGTAATTTCTTGGAACAGCGATCAAAATGTCACTGTTACTAAATTTTTTATTCAAATAACATGCAAACAGTGTTATTTCCCTATGTCACGTGGACAAGTTTACTGAACACTGTATCGAACTCAATATGCTCATGTGACACGTTTTTTGTGGACACTAAATTCGCTACCCCAAATAGTGAACTTGGTACTTGGTGTCCACTTGACACGTCAGAAAACTTAGTTTGCTATAGTTCCCGAACTTGTTCTCGTGACATATTGGGAAAGTGTAGCATTTGGATAAAAAATTTAGTGAACAGTGACATTTTGATCAATGTTCCTAATTTCTTTCATAAATTTTACACGATATTGAAGGTTTTTTGTGTCTTAATCTCACCTAAATTTTTATTATATATATATATATGAGAAAAGTGTATATCCTTTTAAAATGATATAAATCTTTGTCCTTTTAAAAAAGAGATAAATATAAAGAGGAGTGAGTCCCACTAAAAAAAATAAAGACAAAAAAAATAAGATGTCAATTCATCTATTTCTTTAAAAAACTTAAGAGTAAATACAATTTTTAGTCCTCGGTAAATTTTACGATGCCCACTTTAGTCTCTAGCAAATAAAAAGGCTATTCGTGGTCCTAAAAAATTTAAAATAGACCTATTTAGTTGAAATCTTGGTCCCTCACAAATTCAAAAAAGACTCACATTAATCACTCAAAAGAACTAAAATGAATCTACTTTAAATTTCTTAAGAACCACGAATAATCTTTTTATTTACTAGGAACTAAAATGAATATCATAAATTTTGCTGAAAATTAAAAAAGATATTTACTCAAAACTTAAATTGTTTTAAAATGACATATATTTTTTCTATGTAAGTTTATAACTCGCAGGCATAACTCATATAGTTGACACTGACCCCGAAATCGACAGCTGACCTGTCTTGAAAGTACGTACTCTTAATATAAAAGAGCATACGGAAAGTGAAGGGCTAGAAATATGATGATGGAAAATTGGAAAGTACGATCCAGTGGGCGCTCAAGGAAAAAATAGCCCAATCCAGAATTCTATCTTTTTACCTTCGGCTCGATACTGATTTAGTTCATGGACTTCTATGAAAATCAAGGTTAAATTAAATCATAAGTTTCATATTATCTGAAGATTTTCAATTGGGATTCTATATTTTAAGAGTTTGGAAATGGATTTTCATATATATATATATATATATATATATATGAGTTTTATAAGAGTTATGTTGTAGGAAAAGTGATTGTGTAATGTTATAGACATTGTTGTTAAAATCTCGATTTATCACTACGATTTTACATTTTTACGATTTTTTTTCACCAAAACAATTTTACTAATATTCCAAACGCTTTTACGTTTTTACAATTTTTTTACATTACGATTTTACATTTTACGATTTTTTAATCCCCTTCTGATTTTACTTAAGATCTCAATTTTAACAACCTTGGTTATAGAGATTCGTTTTGCGTGCTGTAATTTTTTCTTTTTCTTTTTTCTTCAAAAAATGTGGGTCTCACAAAATGTTGTGAGTGTACAAAAGTTGGTTGTGTCATATTAAATGACAAATGTAAACCCCTATATATATATATATATATGAGTTCATTTTTTCTGCAGTTACTGCAGATAACTTATCTGCAGTAAACCAATACGACGTCGTTTTGGGGCGGAAATCATGGTATTTTTTTAATTTTAATTTATTTCAAAGTTATAATAATCTTTATATTCATAATTTTTTAAGATTTCAATACCAAAATGACGTCGTTTTGGGAATAAATGCAGATAACTTATCTGCATTAACTGCAGAAATATTTTTTCTTATATATATATATATATAAACCACACGAGTATCCTCTAATAGAGATAATTTTGTTTGAACCAAAAAATTTATATCATAATAAAACTAGCTCTTCTAAATGAAATTTTTTGTATTCACAAAAATTTCAACATAAGATCATACTTAAATGGAATCAAACATATAAACGAATTATGCTCTAAGGTTTACTTAATTGCTCTTATTAAACCTCCTCTTTTTCTGTTCCTTCTTATTGCTCTATATTAAATGCTTTTGGGGATCGGCTACACAGAGCCACGAGATAAAAACAAAAACAAAACTTGTTTTTGGAATTGCTACAAAAAAGGAATAGCGACGAGATTGCCATGTTTTTTGGAAAAATTTTATTGATCTCTCACGCGAATAATATTTTTTATCAAAATGTTACGTGTTGAAGTTCGCTAAGATTGATAGCGAACTTGATAGCCAAAGATTTCATGACATGTGACATACTTTCGCAAGAAATACTGACCGCCACGTGTCTAAGTTCGTTACGACTGTAGCAAATTTGGTAGCCAATAATTTAGTGAAACGTGGCACACTCTCTTTAAACGATCAAAATTAATGTACCAATCATAATCAAAAAAAGAAAACGAAGAAAAATGGCTATTTAATTAGTATACCAATTACAAATAAAGTAACGAACTTAGTGTGCACACTCTCTACCTAGGATTGCAAACTTAGTGTGCTATGTGGCACACTCTTTTTAAACGATCAAAATTAATGTACCAATCATAATCAAAAAAAGAAAACGAAGAAAAATGGCTATTTAATTTAGGAAAAAACTAGTCTTATGCCATAGGAGATAGGTTTATTTTCCTACAGAGACATCGATCCTTGAGCTTTTTTATTTTTTATTTTTTTATTTTATAACTATGCGGGTCCCACCACATGATTGTGAGAGTGGTAGGAGATACTTCTCTCCTATTGATGGAGATTAATAAAGCCCTTTAATTTATGTACCAATCACCAATCACAATTGGTGTACCAATGAGACTAACTTTTGATTGTACCAATCACAATTAATATATCAATCATCAATCACTTCGGAAGGCCATAACTTTTGATTTAGATATCAAATCAGATAATTTTTTATTTTATTTCACATAACTTTTGGAGATCTACGCAATGATATCTCATTTGACATATTTCATCTCTCACAAATATCGTTCGAATTTGAAACAATGGTATCTCAAACAATTAATATACTAATCACCAATCACAATTAATGTACCAATCACTAATCACAGTTAACGTACAAATCCCTATTAATTGTGATTGATACATTAATTGTGATTGGTAATTGGTACATTAATTGTGATCAAAATTAATTGTGATTGGTGATTGATACATTAATTGTGATTGATGATTGATACATTATTTGTAATTGGTATACTAATTAAATAGCTCTTTTCCTTCGTTTTCTTTTTTTTATTGTGATTGATACATTAATTCTGATCGGACAACAAGATTGTGCCACATAACAAATTTTGTCCAGTCAGCTTTTCCTGCAAAAGTGTGCCACGTGTCAAGAAATCATTATTACCAAATTCGTTACCAGTCATAGCGAACTTCACCATGTGGCGGTTAGCTTTCATGAAAAAGTGTGTCACGAAATCATTGGCTATCAAGTTCGCTACCAATAGTAGCAAACTTCAACACGTGACAGTCTGATAAATTTTAGAGTAAACACCATTTTTGGTCCCTAGCAATATTAGCGAAATCCATTTTAGTCCCTGGCAATTGAAAGGTACCAAATTGGTCCCTAAAGTTATGAAAAAAGGGCCACGTTAGTCCTTCTGTCAACTCCTCTATCACGGTCAAACTAACGGTGCCCATGTGGCACGTTATCTGCTGACGCGGACTCCACGGTGGACACAGTGGAAAGCTGGACGACGACGTTTTGAATCAAAAGGATTGCAAAGCTTTCCATGGAAAGCACGACGTCGTTTTACTTGAATCCAATTAATTGATAAAACCCAAATAATGAACCCTAAAATTGAAAAAAAACCAAATGCCTTCAATCGAACCCTAAACCGGAAACTCCATCCCCCAAATTGATGTGCAAATCTGTAAACAACAAAACGCCCCCAGAATGTTTGCACTTTGATGATTGAAACTCGACGAAAGACATTAAGCCATCAACCGGATTTCTGGGCGTGGGAGAAGATGAGTGTTTCTTCTGGCATGGGGGGGTCA